AATTTTCTACCTTTTCTTCCTCTATATTTTGAAATCTAAGATAGAATTCAGATCTATCTCCCATTTCAGCATACTCTTGTCCTGTTCAGTCACGTTCAATTTGTTGTCAATATTGCCAATCTTCTTATCTCTTTGTTCCTCTCTTTCTTCAATGTTTTGGATTCTTTCTTCATACTTCATCATCTTGTGGATATTTTCAACTTTATCATCTGTTTTTTCTGTTCTTAACTTTATATCTTGAACTCCTTGCCATATCATCTGTAAGATCACCTCTTTCTCTTTTTCCTGCTGTGACATCGCCATTGTTAATCGTTGTCCTCCAGATGTCAAAGAAGCTGTAGTTGGTATTGAAGAACCAGTAATTGATGGTCTTCTACTCATTTTTACAAGGCAGAAGCAAAGAGAAAGAAAAATCTTCAGGTTCTTGTACACCCCTCCAATTAAATCCAATTGATTAAAAAGAAAATCATAAAAAAACAAAAATTATAATAAGAAAAAATAAAAGAAGATCTTCAGGTTCAATACCTTAATCCAAGTAATCAATATGGAAAAAGCCAAACAATATCATAAAAATAGCATTCCAAATCCCCCAAAAAGAGAAGGAAAATAAAGAAAAAATAAAAATAAGTAGATCAATATACTTTGAGGTAAAAAGGAATCCAAAGAGAGAAAGAAAAAAGAAAAAGAAAAGTACTGAGGATTAAAAAATTAAAGATTAAAAATTAAAAAGGAAAAACCATTTAACAGGCTACTGTCACAGATGTCAGCAAAAAAAAAAAATAGATTATTAAGGGGGGAAGATTAAAAAAACAAGGAAAAAAACAAGCCACACACTGCCACAGTATAGTGTCCAAGGCTCTCTTGCTAAGTTAAATTCCAAAAAAGCTTTAAAATTTTCTTCTCAAGATCCTCTCAATCTTCTTTCTTTTTACTTCTTGCTTTCTCTCGCTATCCAAAAGCAACCACAGATAGTAACCCAGAAGAGCACCTGTAATAACATTTTTTCATGCTCATCCCACTATCTTCACAAACTGGCTCATTGTCCTTGACAACAGTTCTTGTTATTGTCAGGCTTATCAAGCCACAAAGAAGAAAGAAACTGTTTCCAAACCTCTAGGTTGCAGTGTTACTTATTGTCTCTACTTTCACTTCCCCACTTGCATCCAAAAGGAAAAAAAAATAAAAATGGCTAACAAATAAGCAGTTAAACTAAAATGCTTTTAGATATTTAAAAGAAGCACTAGAAAAAAGAAAAAAGTTCTAAACAACAACAACAACAAAAGTACAAAATCATTGTATGTAAAATTCAAGAAAAAGACCAGTCAATTTTAAAAATTTAAGGCGTTTGTAGAAAAGTCCAGCAATAAAAAATATTACACTAATCTTGACTGCAGGTTTAATCTCACCGCCGATACCAGCAACTGCCCCCAAACCTCTAATCGTACAGGGTGAGACACATTATGAAATAAAAAAAAAATCATTGATTCTAAATTACACCAAGGGAGATTACAATATTTGGTGTTATGGAAAGGCTACCCTTTGTCACATGCTACTTGGGTAAAAAGTTGGGATATACCTGCAGATAGATTGGTTAACCAATTCCATGACAAATTCCCTGACAAACTGAGGGGTCCCCTTGGAGGGGGGAGAGGGGGTTAAGGGCATTGCATTAACCCCTGGTTGTATTTTTTTATTATCTCTTTCAGGGGGTGATTTTTTTCAAGGGGGGATGCCTGTCAACTTTGGAAGCCAGCAGGTTAGGGTTAGGGTTAGAAAATGGGAGAGGGTGGATTCAATTGAGTAGCTCTAAGTAGGCAAAATAAAATTCTTTTGTTAGTTCAAGGTCATTGCGTATGGCGCAGGATGAAATAAGGATCTTAACTTTTGGATGGATCATGATAGGGCCATGTGATCTGATGACGGCCAAGGGGGGATGGATTTGTAGTTTGGAAAATTGTAGGAAGCCCAGAAACTTTCAGATTCGGGATTCCACAGATTTACTATCCTAATAAAGGTACTTTTTACTTATGTTTGTCTTGGAGTGATTGGTTGGAATGGAGGTTTGCTGACACCCTCATTTAATTGTTTTCCTCCTTCCCTGCTCTAAATTCTTTCCTTCCCTGATTCTAATTCCCATCTCCTTCCTTCCTTCCTCACTCGGAAAGGGATATGGGGAGGGGGAGAGATTGGCAGTGCCCAGAGCCTGACGTCCTGGGTGAAAGGGAAGAGCTCAGAATGCAGTCAGCTTGCAGGGCAAAATGATCCTCAGGGATGCCAAGGTCTGTGCACTTGCCAAATCCTGTGCGCATGTCCAGGACTGCCAATCTCTCCCCCTCCCCTCATCCTTTCCTGAGAAGGAAGGAAGGAAGGAAGGAAGGAAGGAAGGAAGGAAGGAAGGAAGGAGATTGTAATGAGAGAGAGTGGGGGTCTGAAGGAAATCCTGCCTTAGCACTTGGCCACCAGCAGCCCTTCTTCCTTTTGCCATCCCCTTATCCCTTCCTCCTAATCCTGATCCTAATTTGGCCCTCAATGAAAAAGAGTTTGACACAACTAGGGAAAAATTCTTCAGAGACCTGAACAAAAGAATTAGTAAATTTATTTGGCAAAAGAAAAAAGCTAGAGTAAAATACAAATTAATGCAAGATAGTAGAAGTAAGGGAGGATTGGCGCTCCCAGACTTTGAGTTATACTATCAAGCTGCAGCAAGTACCTGGATCAAAGATTGGATTAACTTGGAGGATAAAAGAATACTGACAATAGAAGGCTTCAATTTACAGATTGGCTGACACACATTTCTCTGGGATGGAAAAAATAAAACCCATAGCTACTTTCAAAGACACTGGATAAGGGACACTTTGTTATATATATGGGAAAGAATTAAAAGAAACCATTATGTGAAAATACCTCTCTGGCTATCTCCAGTGGAGGCACTAGTATATCTCAATGTTATGGATCTGAACAAAACAATAAAATACAAAGAATGAATAACAGATGAAGTGGGAGGGGATGGGTGATAAGGAATGATGAGAAGACTAATAGTGATAGTAGTACAGACTTTGTAAATAGTTGGACAGTGTTGAGGGAAATGTTTGTTTAGCAGAGTGATGGTGTTTGGGGAAAAACTGTCCTTGTGTCTAATTGTTCTGGTGTGCAGTGCTCTATAGTGTCGTTTTGAGGAAAGGAGTTGAAACAGTTTATGTCCGGGATGTGAGGGGTGTGTAAATATTTTCACAGTCCTCTTTTTGACTCAGTCCTCTTTTTGGCAGTATACAGGTCCTTGATTGAAGGCAGGTTGATAGTAATTGTTTTTTCTGCAGTCCTAATTATCCTCTGAAGTCTGTGTCTGTCCTGTTGGGTTGCAGAACCAAACCAGACAGTTATAGAGGTGCAGATGATAGACTCAATAATTCTCAATAATTGGTAGGCTTAATGTAACTTTTAAATGTTTATAGACTTCTGCTGGTAGACCATCTGTTCCTGGTGACTTATTCTTTTGTCTTTTAATTGCCTCTCTTAGCTCCACCATGGTTATTCTTTCATTTAACATAGTTTTCACCATTTCAGGCACTTTGGGTCAGGGGTTGCCAACCTTTTGGACCTCAGGGACCACCAAACTCATAATTTTAGATACCAGGGAACACTAACCAGTTCTGTGGGCATGGCCTAATTTGGGGGTGTGGCTTGGTGATCATGTGACTGGCTGGGCATGGCTTGTATGTAAATATTATGAATATTTATGTAAATATTGATTTTTTTTATTAAAAAAGAGCAACTTTTACCCAAAATCAGGCAAAGCAGGCAGGTAGATTGAGTTGCTCACAGAATCACAGATTCATTCAGAGATCTATCTGCCATTGGCTAGCTCAGTCTGTCACATAAAATTTGCTAGCAAGCAAACTCACAAAATTAACTCACAACACGCCATGCATGTAAATATTGATTTTTTTATTTTTTTAAAAAGAGCAATTTTTACCCAAAATCAGGCAGATTAAGTTGCTCACAGAATCATTCAGTGATCGATCTATCTGCCATCAGCTAACTCAGTCTCTCAAATTTGCTTGCCGTGAGTCTGCACTGAATTTGCTTGCAAGGAAACCTTCAGTCCTAAGGGACGTTCGGCTGTGCTTAAAAGCAGAGCTGAAGATCTAAAGGCTAGCTAGAAAGCAAGAAATTCAACTGTTTTCTGCTTCCTAGCTAATCTAAATCTCCCGGCACAGCAGAAGAGATGATGGTTGGAAAAAGGAAAAATAGAAATTTAGCAGGCAAGTTTACCAGGTAAGGATTGAGTGGGCGGGGAGAGTTCCTGTGGACCATGTGGGTGGCGCAGCCTTGTATTTCTGTGCAGCCTGGATTAATTGCTTTGGGGGGTGCTGTGGGGATGAGATTTCTCTGCATCCCACCAAAATTTCCTCGCGGCCCACCAAAATTTGCTCATGGCCCACCAGTGGGCCACAGCCCACCAGTTGGTGACCGCTGCTTTGGGTAGTTCCGATTTTTCCAGGTATTGCTTTATTTTTTGTTCTGACACTTTTTTCTTGGTCTTATAGCTTTCTATAGACCTCCTGTATTATGTTCTTTTTGCTCTCATTTTGATACTCTAAGGTTCCCTTCTCATCTTGCAGTTTGCTTATCAATTTTTTTCTCTTTCTCCTTTTTCAGCTTATACAGTAGCCATCTTCCTGATTTATTGGCATTTTCAAAAGAGTTTTGTTTTGCTGTTTTGATTTCTTGTGCCAGTTCTTTTTTCCATCAAGTTTAACGTATGTTTTATTATTTCCATTTGATTTTTTGAGGTTTCCCATTTGTGATTCTTTTTGTAGTTCTGCTTCAAGTCTTCTATGTTCTTCTTCTAGTGGTTTTTTATATTGTTTATTTTTCTTATTTTTCCTTGCTATGTAAGTTATAGCTAATCCCCTGAAATATTCTTTGGCTGTATCCCATACATTTATTAGTCAAGTCTCTTCATATGTGCCAGTTTATGACCTGTTTTTCATTTTCAGAGACGTGCAGCAGATAATTTGAGAAGACATCATCACTATCAGGTGACAAATTTCTTATTTTGTTCTGTACAATTTAATTGATTAATGTTACAATTGAAGTCAGATGCATTTACCATCATGTCACTTTAGATACTGAGAAAAATACATTTTCTGGCAAAAGAGACAATTGTTTCATTTACATGGGCATATAGTTGTAAAGGAATTTAGGATAAAACATTGGAATGGAATGGAAGTTGGAAGACCTTGAGGTCTTCTAGTCCAACCCCTTGCTTAGGCAGGAAACCCTACACCACTTCAGACAAATGGTTATCCAATCTCTTCTTAAAAACTTCCAGAGTTGGAGCATTTAAACTTCTGGAGGCAAGTTGTTCCACCAGTTATTCTAACTGTCAGGAATTTTCTCTTTAGTTCTAAGTTTCTTCTCTCCTTTGATTAGTTTCTACCCATTACTTCTTGTCCTACCCTTAGGTGCTTTGGAGAATAGCTTGATTCCCTCTTCTTTGCGGCTGTCCCTGAGATATCAGAACACTGCTATCATGTCACCCCTAGTTCTTCTTTTCATTAAACTAGACAAACCCAATTCCAGCAATTCTTTATATTTTTAGCCTCCAGTCCCCTCCCTAATCATCTTTGTTGCTCTTCTCTGCACTCTTTCTAGAGTCTCAACAACTTTTGTACATCATGGCGACCAAAACTGGATGCAGTACTCCAAGTGGGGCCTTACCAAAGCATTATAAAAACACTTCACTGATCTTGATTCTATCCCACTGTTTATGCAGCCTAGAACTGTGTGATATCATATTTAAATGATTGTTCACTAGGACTTCAAGATCCCTCTCACATTTATTGAGTGAGGTACCACATATACTGTACCTGTGAATTTTATTTTTCTTGCCTAAGTGTAAAACCTTACTTTTTTCACCATTGAATTTCATTTTGAATTTACTTTTTTCACCATTGAATCTATTTTTGTTAGATAGCACCCAAAGTTCAAATCTGTCAAGATCCTTCTGTATCTTAAGCCTATCTTCTGGAGCATTGGCTATTCCTGCCAGCTTGGTATCATATGCAGATTTGATGAGTTTCCCATCTATCCCCTCATACAAATCATTAATGAACATTTTGAAGAGTACTGGGCCTAAAACAGAGCATTGGAGTACCTCACTGCATACTTTCTTCCATATAGATGCAATTCCATTGAGGACTACATGTTGAGTGCAGTTGGTCAGCCAGTTACAAATCCATCTGGTGATGCTGTCCACCCCACATTTTTCTATCTTATCAAGTAATAGGTTGTGGTCTATTTTATGAAATGCCTTACTGAAGTCCAAGTAAATTATATCCACAGCATTCCTCCAGTCTACTAATGTTGTCACTTTGTAAAAGAGGAATGAGGAATGAAATTGTTCCACCTCTATTACTTTAGATTAAATATAGATATTTAATACATGAAACGGGGGGCGGGGAATCCTTGAAATGAGTATTTGTGTTATCTGCATTTCCCCCCACCATTCATTATACAAATAGACAAGTTTCTTAGAACCATTATGAAGAACTCCACACTTTGTCCCTTATTGAGGACTTAACAATTCTTCCTGCCTCTGAGTGTCAAGCAGATGCTCATAAGATGTAGGGCTATATTGGAATATAACATTGTTATATTGCAATAAATTTCCTCCTTATCCTATCAAATTATGCTTAATCATTGTTTCAAAGTTATGTAAAGTCCCAACATGTTTCTTGTAATGTGATGACCAAAACTGGATGCAGTATTATAGGTCTAAGGCTTTCTAAAACGGTTGTTATACTTCACATGATATTCATTCATTCATTCATCCAATCAATCAATCAATCAGAGTAGAGTTAGAAGGGACCTTGGAGGTCTTCTAGTCCAACCCCAAGCTCAAGCAGGAGATCCTATACAATTTCAGATAGGTGGTAGTTCTGTCTTTTCTTTAAAAACCTCCAGTGATGGAACACCTACAACTTTTAAAGGCAAGCTTTTCCACTGGTTAATTGTCCTCGCTGTTAGAAAGTCTCTCCTTAATTCTAGATTGGTTCTTTCCTTGATTAATTTCCATTCATTGTTGCCTTCTGGTGCTTTGGAAAATAAGTTGTCCTCCCTCTTCTTTGTGGCAGCTTCTCAAATACTAGAATACTGCTATATCACCCCTAGTCCTTAACTTAGAGCCTTGAAAGTGTTTTAATAAGCTACAAATACTGGATGGACTCGCCTTAGCACCTTTGGTAACTGTAACTCACTGTGACTGGGTTTATGATCCAAACGATTGGGAAAGGCCCTAGGTACTTGGGACCAAGATTCTTACACTGTTGCCTCAACTTTAAGTATTTAGTAGATAAATATGCTTTCTCCGTTTCTGAATTCCCTCTGGAGGACTCTCCTCTGATCGGCTTGTTTCTTTTGCGACTCTCTGGCTTTACCCAGTGCTTTTTGCACATTTGCACCGGTGAGCCCACTGTCACCCTGGAAAATCCACCCCCAGAGGGACCCTGGCATGGGGCAGAGCTCAGCAGGAGGAGGCTTCCCCCTTTAGAATGAAAGGCACCTCCCCTGCGCATCACATTTGACAGGGACCACAACAACTGGGATTTTTCCTCATGAACATGCTAACCTACATGGAGGGACCTCCACACGAAATAGCCAAAGTTGGGGTCATCACCTTGGACCTAGAAGGGGCAGCTGCATGTTGGATGGCAACCCTCCACAATGCAGATGCCACAGAGCTCCAAAACTTTAACTGCTTTATGACAGTCCTGAGATGGAGATTTGAGGACCTGCAAGCTGACCAAAAGGCTGCATCAGGTACATCAGGCAAGGATGCTGCATTGACCTGCTGCATTGATTAGCTGAAGGAAATACTAGTGAACTGGTTCAAGGTCAGCTTAACGACATCCTGTACAATACCTGCATAGCCTGTGGAGCCTGCATGACTGGTATGTTTTGGCTGAGGAAGCTGAAATTGACCAAGCCCAGAACCAATACCACACAAATCGCACCTGGAGAAGAGAGAAGAGAGAAGAGAGATGGATAAACCTTGCTCTGCCCCTCTGCGCCCAACAGCATGCTTCAACTACAGAAAAGAAGGCTACCATGCAACTGATTGTCATGCAAAGATCCCTGCCTGAAAATGAGAGAAGCAAGCTGTGGGGAGGTCCACAAAGCCACCACCATGTCCCAGGGACTCCACTTTTAAAAGCCACGTGGTCATGCAGTTCCTGCTAGAGTTGCTTTGGAACTCCAACCCCTCCTACAGAAGAGCCTGATCACTCAGAGAGTGACTATGAAGACCCTTTAGTAACTGGGACTGTGGAACCCCTTACAATCCCTATAGAACTATTAATCCCACTAATAGGGAGAAAATTAAAAGCACTGTTGGACTTAGTGTGCCCGAGGAGCCTAATAAGCCCAACTTTAGTTGGAGGATTGGGGATCCAACTAAGGCCATTAAAAATTCCAGTCTCGGACTTCCGGTGGTGAGGTCACAGTGGAGCAGGAGAGCAATCTCTGCAATCCTGTATACAAATTTTCATGCTCGGAAGCTCTCAGAGGCATCGTGAAGCTTGGAGAGACACACAAGTTAGAAGGGGAAGCCTAGGAGCAGAGGGGAGGAAAGCAACCTCCCACTGCAATGAGGGGAAGCCTGTTGAATCTGGCGCAAAAGAAACCCGGCATCTATGGCGGGTCCGAAGCTGTGACAACCAGCTGCAATCGGGAAGCAGGAAAGTGGATCAATGCAAGACATCAGAAGGAGAACGGCAGACTGGGACAGTTTTTGAGAGGTGAGAGAGCCCTGTGAAAGACTTTGACAAAGGGAGCCTCCGGAGAGAGTGAATACAGCAGCTAATTGGCAGGGGATAGCAGAGCAAAAGGGAGAGGAGGAAACAACAGTTTAACAGCTGAGAGAGAGTACCGCAGAAGAAAAGATCAAGACTGTGAATAAAAACTCAAAATTTCTACGATTTAGATTGATTACTGGTAGAGCAGAAAAGAGACATTAGAGAGAACAATTGGAACTTTAATGGAGAACTGTAGTTGAACGGAGAGTGGAACCATTTTGATAGAAAGCTATGACTGCAATTTGAGAGTGAAAGTGACTAAGTAGTTAAAAAGGACTGAGGAAACAGGAAATGAGGAAAGTAATGTGATGGTGTGCAGAAGAAAGGGAAAAGAAGAAGAAAGAAGAAAGCTGAATAATTTCTAAGTATTAAATTCAAAAGTGTATATTGAAAAAAAATCTAAATCAATATATACAGTATAAAAATAGCTGATTGCTTGCAAGAAGAATTAATTTATGTATCCTATTTCATAGATTGCTACATTCTTTATAACTGTTATACCCTATATATTCTTTATATCTTTCCACAATTTGATACCTTGGATAACAATTAATTAATCAATTGATGTACAACAAATTAATGTCTATATATTGATTCATAGACTTAATTGAACTATAAGAAAGTTATAAGATATAGTATATAAGAAAAGAAAACAATCAAACACATATTTATCTATATTTATTGAATTATATATGTTTACTATATAAGCTATTATATTTAGAATTATACTTAATTAATTTATTAAAAGGATTAAATACAATTAGAAAATTAAGGGGGTTATAGACTATCACAGATTATAAACAATAATGATATTTAGTTTTACATTGTTGTGTGTGTGTGTATGTGTGTATATATGTATGTGTGTGTATGTATGTATGTATGTATGTTGTGGCTCCGATTCCTGAGCCTGCGTTGTTAGAGGAAAAGGACTCAGAAGATGAGGAGGAGGAATTGGGAATGCCTTCCTCCCCAGGACCTTCCTCTTCGGCAATGCCTTCCTCCCTGATAATGCCTCAGGTTTCAGCAGATAACCGAGAGGGACAGCCTGAGACTAATCAGGAGGAGGAGGGCATATCGGAGCAGCCTCTGACAGGGAATCAAGTAGATGAATGTTGGCTTGATCCTAGGCAGTGTCGCAGGAAGAAGTGTGAGCTGCAATGTAGGAGGCGTGGGTGAATCAGAGAGTGAGCTGAGTCATTGAGACACACCCCACAGGGGATAAAAGTGGGTGTGTTTTCTCTGGAAACTGTACGGGACAAAGTTTTACTTTTCTATCAGGCTTCGGTGTGTTTTGTTTCTTGTGGTCTGCGTTGGAAGCTTTAGTGATTAATTCTTCTGGTTATCTTCTCGGACTTGGCAGGCAGCGTTTGTTATAATGCCAAGAACATTGTCTGTATAAAGGAATTAACTCTGTACATACTGAATCTTCTTGCCTGCCTGTATTTGTCGGAGTTTGGACTCTTCATCCTCCTTGGAAAGGTGAGACATAACATACATACATACATACATACATACATACATACATACGTACGTACGTACATACATGTTGTGGCTCCGGGCTTGGATTCAGCTCCTGTGACTGATATGAGTTCAAGTAAAGAGGTCATGGCAGAAAAATATGAGCCGGCCTGGCTTACTGATTGGACTGATAACCAGGATGAGGAGATGGACGTGACAAAGGACGACAGACCTGATGTATTAGAATTGTCAGGACCTTTGACCTCCTCTGGTTCCTTATCTGATCAACAGCTGGGAATGGCTGACAAGGAAGTTTTGAGAGAGTCTTCTAGTGGAGATGAGAACTTGGAAAATTTGTGGTTAAATGTAAAAAATAGAAGACGGTTGAGAAGGCAAAATCAGCTGGAGCGAATGAGGAGAGTGAGTCAGTAAATTAGCACGTTGCCTCAATGAGTATAAAAGGACACAGCTGGGCTGGTACATTTTGCCAGGAACAAAATGACTATTTGAGTGAGGATGTTACAGCAAGAAGCTCTGAGACTAGAGATTTTTTGCCAGGACTGGTTTGCTGGACAGAGTAAAGATTTATGCTGTGGTTTCTGCCAGCCGTTATCTTGTAAGATTTCTTTCCGTTTGATTTAATTGTGAAACGGCTGCTTTCTGTTTTGTTCATTTGAATTTCGAAGGGGAGTCATAACACATATATATTTTCTGAGGTTCTCGCGGGTATTTGTATGTGGATCTTTGGTTATTCGGGTCTTCTCCCGCGTAAGATTGGAAGTATCTAGGCAACGTTTTGATGAAGTCTCATTCATCATCTTCAGGTTTGTGTCTTTGGCTCTGTGTTTCTCAGAGTGATGTGAGCTTGCAGCTGCTTCTTCCTTTTAACTGCTAGTGGGGGTGTGACTTGATTGGGTGGGGGCTTGGCTGTGTTCTGATTGGATGGGGTTGTGTTCTCATTGGTAGGGGTTTTGGCTGTGTTCTGATTGGTTGGGGGGCACTAAAGGCCTCCAATAAAGTAACACAATGTTGCCAGCCAATCAAGATACAAAAAGAGCCAAAAAAACAGACAGAAGATATTAGAAACACCAATCAAGCAGAACACAGCAAACTCCAAGACCAATAAACACAGACCAAGACTCCCAACCAATCAGGGTGAAGAAAAAACCATTCTGGCACAGCAATAGGCTGCCCCAAATTTAAATCTGAAACCACTATAAAAGCCTGACTCACAGATGAACACTATACAGAAGCCTGATGATGGCAGATGAGATTCTGCCGAAACGTTGCTACAACTTTAAAAGCACAACTACAATGACGTGGGAAAATACCCGAACAAAGCTGAATGCCATATATATATATATATGTTGTGACTCCGGAGTTGGAATCTGTTCCGTTGGCAGATGTGAGCTCAAGCGAAGAGGAAATGGCAGTAAATTATGAGCCGGCTCTGTTGAGCAATTTGGATTGTAGTCAGGATGAGGAAATGGATGTAACTAGGAGGGACGAACCTGATTTAATAGAGCTGTCAGGACCTTCGACCTCCTCTGATTCTTCTCCTCTGGCTGAGCAACAGCCGGGAATAGCTAACCAGGAACACTTGCGAGAGTTTTCTAGTGGGGAGGAGTCTTTGGAAAGAACTTGGCTAGATGTGCGTAATAGACGTAAGTTTAGGCATCAATCACAATTAGGAAGGAGGCGTCGAGCCAGTGACTAATTAAGGAGATTAACACGCCCTCATAGTGGATATAAGGAAACGGCTTGGCTGGCGAGCTTTTCCAGAAGCAAAGTGATTTATGGGAGTGAACACACGGAGAGAACTCTTTGAGGCTTTGGGATTTATAGCCATGTCAGGTTTGCTGGACAGAGTTTGGATTTATTGCTGAGGACTGGAAACCCTTCCACAGTCCTTTTGGGAAGGTCTGCTCTTTGGTTTGTGAACTGCCTGTTTCGTTTTGCCCTCCTGCATTTAAAGGGGAGACATAACATTTTTGCTTCTGGCCAAACAAACCATCTTTCAACCAAGATGGATTTAACTCAACTGCAGCATTTGGGGGAGCAGCAACAGCAACAAATAAACCAACTGCTACAGAGTAACCAGACCCTCCAAAACCAGGTAACTCAGTTGGTGAATCATATTACAAGTTTGCAAATTCCTGCTGCTCCTTCAGCCCCTCCCTTGAGGAAAAGCCCGGTATCCATGCCGGAGAAATTTTCAGGACAAATGGACATGTTCCCGGCATTTTGGGGGCAGTGTCGGTTATTTATGTCCTTGAGGCCTGAAGACTTTCCAAACGACCGGGCTAAGGTAGAATTCATTATTAGCCTTTTGTCTGGGCAGGCTGCCAAATGGGCTACTCCCTTGTTAACTCAAGATAGTCCTTTATTAGATAATTTTCAGGGTTTTCAGCAACAAATGAGGGTTATGTTTGAAAACCCAATTAAAACTCAAACTGTGGCAAGACAGTTACGGGACATTTATCAGGGGAAACGTCCCCTGCAGGAATATATTGCAGAATTTCATTTACTTTGTATGGATTCCACCTGGAACGAATCGGCTCACATGGATGCGTTTCAGGAGGGCTTGGCAGATAACATCAAAGATGAGTTAGTGCATGTGGAATGGGCTGCAACTTTGGATGCACTAGTAACACAGTGTTTGCGAATTGAAGCCCACTTACAACAGCGCGGAAGCAAACGGCCCGTTGTGGAACCATCTTCTCTTCCTCCTTTACAAACCACACCACCGAAAGTTTCTCAAACTATGGTTAAGACCGAGGAGCCAATGGAGTTGGGTGCACTCCGCCCTCGTTTAATGGTGAGAGAATGTTCTAGAAGGTTTCAGGAAGGCTTGTGCCTTTATTGCGGGGGTTCGGGACATTTTGCTAATTCCTGCAAACGGAGAGGGACCCGCAAACCTGTGCCTGAATCCATTCCTGACCCATCGGGAAACGGGGTAGGCCCAACCTCGGGGAAACCCTAGGTCGGGCACATTCCACACCCCCACCCCAAATTGCTGAAGTGAATCCAGGGCCTCCTCGGCATTTACTTTTGGACACTCGAATCTTTTTACAGTCCCAGAAGGGGGGAATTCCCGCTGTTGCGATAAGTTTTTATATCACCTCGAATCTTCATCTCCCCTTGGTACTCGGCGTGTCCGGGCTGCGTTTGCATGATCCGTTGGTGGCTTGGGCGCAGAATGCCATTTCCTTTCCAAGTCTCCAATGTGTGGATCATCTGAGACATATCTGCACTGGCCAGGATATCACCGCCACTTCTGCTGTTTCCATACCTCCAGAGC